GTCGCTGGCCCAACTATTGCGAACAATTCGGCTCCCGTCGATTCTTCGCCGGTCTCTGACATACCCGAGACCGTCCCCATGGACGTTCACGCCGTAAATTACAATGCGGGCGTTTCGGCTGCCTCCGCTTCGACTTCATCAGCTTCGGCTGCAACCTCAGCTTCGGCTGACCGCACTCCAGGTGTTTCGACTTCTGCAGTTCCCGCTGTCTTTGACCCATCTAACGAGTATTGTACTCCTGATATGGTCTTCTTTTGGCAGCCCCCCTCTCCCTTTTCCCAATGGACCCCGTCGACTTTTGTGGTCGATGGAGTGGTATACTCGTGTGCTGAGCAGTTTTTCGCTGCGGAAAAAGCTCGTCTTTTCGAAGACCATTGCGCTTTACAAAACATCATGCGCGTGTCCGATCCTGCCTTACACAAGAAGTTTGGCCGCGGTGTCCGTGGTTTCGACCCATCTCTTTGGGAACACGAGCGCGAAAATATTGTGCTCACTGGCTCTTACGCAAAATTTAGTCAAAACTCCGAGTTGCGCGAGCATCTTCTCGGATCTGGCGACAAAATCCTTGCCGAAGCTATTGTTTGTGATGCCAAGCCCGCAAGTCATCTCGTCAAACGCCTCGATGGCCTACTTTGTGCCTTCCGCTGCCTTCGGGCCCTGGTGTATCGGTGAGCGTCGATTATTTCGGTCCCCTTCCGTTGACACCGCGCGGAAACACATATATTCTGATTTTCACTGACCGTTTCAGCCGCCGTGCTGACATGTACGCGGTTACGGCTGCAGAATTCACCGCCGAAGGCACCGCTGACGTACTTGTCAATCGGTATATCCCTTTATGGGGTTGCCCTTTGAGTCTCTTGTCTGATAATGGCTCTCAGTTTTGTTCTAAACTGTCGCAGGCTGTATACGCCCGTCTGGCTATACGCAAAGTGGCCACCAGCTCTTACCATCCCAACGGCAATGGGGGTGTGGAGTGCGTAAATCACACTATGGCTCAGATGTTGGCTATGGTCGTCAATGAGAGGCAAGATGATTGGGACATTCATCTGCCGCACGTTGAGTTTGCCTACAACAATTCGGTTAGTGTCGCTACTGGTTTCGCGCCCAACGAGGTGCATATGAACCGACTGCCACGCATGCCGATGACGGTTTTTGAGCATCCATATGCTCGAGGCCACCAAAGCTTGCATCGCGATCAACTTGAGTATTGCGATCTTGCTGCTGATCGCCAACGTCGTTCTTACGATTTAGTTCGCGAACAGCACAACCTGTCCGTTTCGAGGATTGGGCGGCGTAACTCCGCCCTATCGGATGCTTTGCGCAAGGTCCCCTCATACACCGTCGGTGGATGGGTTTGGGTGTACAACACCGAATCTACCATTCGCCAAGGTGTTCGTTCAGGCACGGATGACAAGGTCCTCAAGGCTAAGTTGTCTTTCCTGTGGACTGGTCCGTTCAAGATCTTGGCCGTGGGTCCGTGTCCTGACGCTCCCGACGGTTGTCCTCTGGCTTCCAAGTTACTGTATTTGGATCTTCCATCGGATCTGCCGGGTCCGGACTCGAAAAACCGTGTGTCAGTTGCGCGTTGCAAGCCTTGCGCTAATCCGCATGACACTGAAGACTTGCCTCGGTTCCTGCCTGCCGGCCTTACACCGTATGTGCTAAACTCCTATGCGAATAAATCTCCTCCCTACCATGTTACGGAAGACGACGTGTCGACTCCGGTCGAACGTCTCGAGGTTGACCGCATTAGTGGCCATCAGTCTGTTCGTGGCCGTGGTGGCACCATCGCTGTTTTATACCAAACGCATTGGAAAGGTCTTCTTCGTCCTTCTTGGGAACGTGAGATGGACCTCCAGCATTCCAAGCCCCACATTCTCCGGTACTGGACGGGTTCGCCTGATCAACATCGCCAAACGAATCGTCGCTATCGGGCGATGCGTATTGGTGCGGCCACCCGCGAGATGGCGCGCGCTAAAGGGGAGCGAGCTTTGCCTTCGGGTTATTCGCTCGTCTCTCGTTCAACTTGGGACCGTCGCTTCGCCAATACTCCGCTACCTGCCGGCGCTTTCTTCTGGTACAAAGCTCGCGATGGATTCTGGTGGTTGGGCAAGATTACTGGACCGCCTCTACCGTCCGACTTCTACGTCGTCCGCTTCTTGGACGATCCTGGCCCTGTCAAGCTCGCCCTTCCTGATGTTCGCTACTCCGCCGCTGAAACCGCCGTCTCCGGATCCTGGTGCCTCCAAGTTCACAGCGGCAGTGCCCTTTTTAAGGGGATCCTTCGCAACGTCGACATGTCGCGTGGTGACCCCGGGACTGATTCGTCGCCTGATAACGTTGCGCGCCCCCATTAAGAGGACGTGCTAGTTGTCTTGGCTTTCTGTTGTTTTCAGCGTTGTTTGGGTTGCTTTTTAGCCTTGGTTGGTTTTCGCTTTCTCCTCGCTTTATTTTGTGCCTTTAGCGTTTGGTCACGACCTGTAGGTGTTTCGCGCCCATTGTTGCCCCTTCTACACTGCCGTGGCGACTGCGTGAATGGCGTATCTTATCGTTTTCTTACGATACCGGTCTTGTTGTGGTTCCTACAGTGATCCTTTCTTTTTGTCGTTATGACGACCTCTGTTTTTCTTTTCTGTTTTTCTTCCTTTCTTTGTGTCTTCCTTTCTTTGGTTCCGATCTTCTTCCGGTCGTCGTAGGCTTTTCTTAGCCTCGTCAGTTCCTTCCTGTCTGTGTCTTTTTGTCGTTTTAGAAGTCAAACGATGGTCTTGCGACTCATCGAGTGAGAGGTGTGGGAGGGTGAATTGTGCTGTTTTGGAGCTCCACTTCCTCGATACTTTCATTTAGAGACTCGACAATTGCTTGTCAAGACTCCGAGGTTTTACAGTATCTGCGTATGAGAACCTCCAGGGTGGGCTAGTGTTATAGGATTCAGATGTGTAGACGGAACATAGAAGAGCTTGGTTCCTTCTAGAAGGCGCGGAGAGATGTAACTCTCCGCGGAAGGATAAAAAGCAGGGGACAGGATCTAGTAGCCCCTGCTTGTGCAGAGGATCATGTGCCCCTTGGTGTCATTCCTACCGATACCCAAGGCAACAGCTACTGCTGCTGCTGTTCTACAAGAGTAACAACAAGTGAGTTCTTCTTCACGGGTCAACCAGACTTCATCACGCGTGCATACCACTACACTTTGCAGCATTTTCTTACCTAGCCATATCCCCTTTTATGGGTAATAGCATTTTTCATTGAGCCGCACTTGTGTTGTCAATTTGGTTATGCAAGCTTTGTCTCAATGGTGGTGTGGGGGGTAGATTCGGGATATTTCTACAGCTCCCCTTCCCTTTGGATGATATTGTGAAGAGTCATATCTTTCGATTCAGGAGTATTTACCATCAGCTCTTCTGGATCGAGCTTATTGGATTTGAGTATAGAATCTGCATAGATGATCTTCAGGGTGGGCTAGTGTTAAGGAGTGTTGCTGTAGGGCCTAGATAGGGTACATCTTAGTCTAGTATAGGATGTGGGATGTCCGTGAGGTATACCTATCAGGGACCATACCACATCAGGACTCAGCTATCTGCGTGCCCCCTGGTTGCTAGGAGGATCCCCTCCTCAATCAGACCTTCCTCGCTCTCAATTCAAGCAACATCTCATTTCTACACAATCGTGGAGACAAGGCATCAAGCGACCGTACCTCTTTCTTTACCCTAGGACCCAGCTGCTTCCAACAGCTGGACCTCCTTTATATTATGCGTCTATCTTGCTTTCGCCATCAAGTCGAGCACGACGTTGGTTGTTCGTGCAGACCCCACCGTAAAAGGTCGAATCCTTGATTCAACGTCGAACTCCGGACGTGTCCCACACCCCAAACTCTTCGACGAAAATGCTAACAATCCCAGCACGGGTCGCCGCATCAAAACGAACGGCCCCTCGCAAATTGACCGGTATTGTACGGGGATGAACATAAGGCTAGCAATACACGCAAACCACACTCGCTCTCAAAACCCTTCGTACGAGTGCATACTGTGGCAATGCTACCTTGGCCGCGTCGTACTACGACGACAGTGACATGGCGGCGGGACTGAGAGATGCGCGCAACAAAATAGTACACATCGCCAACACTGTTTCACAATCGAGTGACCCTACTTGGTGAAGTCACTTTATGGTGTGGGACGACAATCATGCCCGGGTGCGGATGGACCTTCCGGAGTAACTAATGGAGGCATACAGGCCGTCTTTTTTGTCCTTTTCGTGGACTGGGGGTGGTCACCTTTTGCAGAGAATATCTTGCAAAATATTGCAAGTCTACTTCAGTTTGGTGTCGGACAACTGCAGGGCAGCGTGCTCCAGCCAAGCCAGGGATTCCTTCAGCGCGGAGCGCTGGCCAGTTCCGATCAAATGCTTAGCCGGGTAGCAAATGATATTAACGTGGGGCCGCCAGGTGAGGAACACGGATGGAGTACAGGTGAGGGGGTCGTTGTTCAGGACAAGCGTTGATTGGATTGCTGTCAAGGATTGATGGGGATAGAAACACGGGCGGGAGAAGTTGGGATGCAAGACAAAGAGGACTAACAATTAGTGGAAGAAGGCATGGCGAGGCTTTCGATATGACCGCAGGCGGATGGAAGCACTGGTTTAGTTGACGGGGTACGGTTCGAGGAAAACACCGGTCCAATACACGAGTGGGTGAACGCCCGTCGCCGAGGCAATGTCGAGTCATTTCCGTTCCCTTAGCAAGAGGCATGCAAGATAATTATCTACTGATCCTCCTCCGTTAGCATCATATTCCCTCTACAATGCTTAGACCATCTAAGGGCTAGTGGGTGGACAGAAGCGGGAGATTGTGAAATGTGGCGCGTAAGCACGTCTGCCACAGGCCTGCGGCGACGTGAAGTCTCATGCCAAAGCCGAAATACCCCGTGGGTATCGTTGTGCTCTCATCGTCTTCGCTACTGCTGCTGTGGTGGTGATCCTCCTCGTTTGTCCTTTTCCGTGCGGTGTGGTCACCCAAGCACCTGGTATTCTGCCCGAATAGCGTCTCGGTCGAAGATGGCCCCTTCAAGCCGCCGCGTCTTGTTCTTCAACCGAGCTTTCAGCCTGGCCACCTTTCGTCAACGCCACAGAGGATGCCGCCAAGGTTCAATCGAGGACTAGGGTTGGCTACGCACTGTACAACGAACGTGTGTAGAGGAGATCAGTACAAGTCATCACGAACGAATCAATAATTCCCGAGTGGGAAGCGACACTTTCATACTGCTCACGTGGCAACGAGGGGACCCCCTTAGCTTGGTGCTATCGTTGTCAGCTCAGGGCAGCACAGTGAAAGGCAATACAAAAACCCATATTTCTCATTGGGAAGAGCAAGACCACCCGCCCATGTTTCCCCTCCAGAAAGCACGAGAGCCCCAAACCGTACCAATCCTGTTTTCGAGGCACTTGACGCTCTTAAAAATGTCATGAACCGTTCCTTTAACCCCCCTCGACCAGATCAAGGAGTTTCCAAGGGTCAAAGCGTATACGGTCCCCCTCGATCGATAGCCAGCCCGAGACAACTAACCGACCAAGACACCCCGAACCCATGCCGCACTGACCTCGTCCTGCGCGTCGCTTGGAGCCCTCCCCACCCCCGCCACGTTGACATCTGCCCCACTCTCCGCCCCCAGAGCTCTCGAGCCGGAGGGTCTCGACCCCCACGCGCAGCGACAGCGCGAGGTCCTGGGCCAGCCCGAGGGCATCTTTCGGTAGGGTGCCCCCGCCCCCGCCACCGCCACGATCTTCTTTGACCCCGTCGAGCGCAAGACGGGCGGCGTCACCAGCAGGAGCAGCTCCGGCAGCACGAGCACCAGCTGCCCTTGTTGGCGAGCGCTCATCATCGTGGGGCGATTCTCGCCGTCGGAGGGGCACGGCGGCTGAGGCGCCTGTGGGGGGGGGCGTGGTGGTGACGGTTTCATTCTCTCTCCGCCATTGATGTCGCGTGTGCCGGGCCTCCGCTTCGGTGAGCCGGGACCGCAGCTCGTCCAGCTCTGATATTTGTCAAACAAGCCGGTTGCAATGTTGGATTCTGATTTCCTGAAGCGTTTGCTTGGCCTTTGTCCGATCATACCCCCCCCCCCCCCCCCCCCCCCCCCCCAAAAAAAAAGGGGCGG